ATTAAGATTTGCTTGTCTTTGTGACGGCATGCTTTAACAAAAGAAATAAATAAAATGTAAGTTTTCAGTTCTAAAGATCAACGTTCAAACAAATAAAGGGAAGTTGAAAACATCACTTTGATGTCTCTAAGATATTTTGCGAGTGTTTTGTGTTAGTAATAAACATTAATAAAACAGAATCTAAACATCATTGTGCCACAATTGTATTTAGGTTTGCAAAATAACCAGGAAATAAAAATTGTTTAACTGGACTGTTTGTCATTAAAAAATAAAAATAAAATAATTAAAAAAAATACATCCAGAAACTCAAGACAATTTAAATTTCTTCATTTTTTGAAGGACTCTGCACACAATATATTGCAACTACTTATGTCTCCATTTGGCACTAACTGCATATTTCCACAAGCAGGTAGCTTTCAGCTGCTAGTAACAAAAAGCTAAGATATCCAGTCCAGCTGGAAACAATAATATTAAATAGCAATTTAAAAACATATATTTAGATAACAGATTTGTTGGGAATCATGAGATACTCTGTGGGAAGGGCCTAAATGAATAAAATAATTATATGTCATATATAAGCTGTGACTTCTGTAAAATCTGGTAGCACATCCTTATGTGACACTTTTACAGCAGTTGCACAACATCATTTAGTTCCAACCATACTCTGAGTTTGGCTGCATTCTCAATCTCACTTTTATCACAGCCATAACTGGTAGTCAAAGTCCGAACTCATTTAATTAAACGTAGAACCAGGCACTTCATGAGAAGTCTTTACTTACTTAGGGCTAGGTGGTAACAATTAGCGCATCTCCATTGCTTCTAGTAATGTAATGGAGCAACGTACCGAGGGAAAACTAGTTTCTCTGTCTTTCCTTCGATTTATCTGTGACGTAATTATGAAACCAGGCTTGTAGCCTTTGTATATGCCAAGCCCTTTCTGCATTCATGGATATTATCTTTCATATCAATATTTGCAAATACATTCCATTGCTATTTCCTTCTCTGTAGTTTTCTGAAATAACGCAGCTCTTGTCATTTAACTTCAGCAGTCCAAAAGTTGAGCAGTTTAGTCTAAGCTAATTGCTCTGTGTCCCTCTTTAGCCAATGAGAAGTGGGAAAGCGGGACCACTATAGTGCAAAATTCTTCTTCCATTTAGGGTGCGCTGAATTGCTCTTTCCTTCTTGTGCTTATAGCAGTAATCTAGAAAACTAGTTCAGATCAGATGCAAAGGTACACAAGGTGAACCCTACTCTGAAGCGTCCAGCATTTCTAGCACAAGCACATCACTCAGGATAAAGGGTTTTGTAGGACAACAGTAACGCAATAGAAGCAAATCACAAATCTGTAGTTGTTCCAAAGGGGTATTTAACAAAACCATTTTATGAAATCTACTAAGTTTTACAATAGGGGATAGAGGGTTTCATACACCCTAAGCGTTGGCAAGTATGGGTGGAAGTGTGGGCTGGAGGTGAGGCAGAAGGAAAGGAGAGAAGAGAGAAGGAATGTGCAGGGATGAAAGTGACACTTACTCACTGGAGCGAAGAAGTTTACAAGAGCTTCTAACGTATCTTTCAGTTTCACTTTAAGTTTGCCGGGCGCCACCTCACTTTTTTCTAAAACATGCTGAGTTGGTGATGCAAAACCTGAAAGCTCATAATGATTGGCTCATTACCATCAAAATATCCTTAATTAATTAAATGCAATGACATTTTCATACTGATTATCTTTCATTATGAAGGCATTTATAGTCATTATGAATTGTGACTAGTGATGGCTAGCAAGGTTAAACACAAATGTCTTTCTGTCGTGCTCAATTGTATTCCTTCAAATTGCTTCATGAACCAAAATGAGTAAAGAACTGAAACTGTGAAATTTAAATTATATTAAATAATTCTTTCAGCTGGAAATTGTCAAGACAAAAAGCACTATTGTTCACATACCAGATATAGATTACATTAGAAGTATTTTATATCTACAGAGGTTTTTCTTCTCCTATATGGTGTATAAGAGCAGAATTTTTGGTCTTTTAGATCAAGATCAGACCAGAACCAAAACAAAGAAAGAGAATAGAGTAAAAAGTGGGTTTTTCAGATACAACAAACAGAGCATCTAACCTGTCTCAAACAGTGGTGAATAGGAAAGAGCAAAGAAACCCCCAAACATGGAGATACTGGGATATTTTCCCACACTCTAGTGATTTGTGACCCTGGGACTTCTTGATCAAGTCTCATTTTTACTTTCCTGAAAAACGTAGCACAAATAGGTTTTGTTGCTTCACTATACACCTCTTTTCTTTTAAGGTCATGGAGAACAGAAGAGGTGCCTGAGGACTGGAAGAAAGCAAATGTCACTCTATTCTTCAAAAAGGGCAAGAAGGAGGACCCAAGGAACTACAGGCCAGTCAGCCTCACCTTGATTCCTGGAAAGGCAATGGAGCAGCTCATCCTGGATGCCATTTCTAAGCACATGAAGGATAAGAAGGTGATCAGGAGTAGTCAGCGTGGATTCACCAAAGGGAAATCATGCTTGACCAATCTGATAGCCTTCTATGATGGAATGACTGGCTGGGTAGATGAGAAAGCCGTGGATGTTGTCTACCTGGACTTCAGCAAGGCTTTGGACACTGTCTCCCATCACATCCTTGTAGATAAGCTCAGGAAGTGTGGGCTGGATGAGTGGACAGTGAGGTGGATTGAGAACTGGCTGAATGGCAGGGCTCAGAGGGTTGTGATCAGGGGCACAGAGTCTAGTTGGAGGCCTGTAGCTAGTGGTGTCCCCCAGGGGTCAGTCCTGGGTCCAGTGTTGTTCAACTTATTCATCAGTAACCTGGAGGAAGGGACAGAGTGCCTCCTCAGCAAGTTTGCTGATGATATAAAACTAGGAGGCGTGGCTGATACCTCAAAGGGCTGTGCTGCCATTCAGACAGACCTCAACAGGCTGGAGAGATGGGCAGAGAGGAACTTCCTGAAAGTCAACAAAGGCAAGGGCAGGGTCCTGCACCTGGGGAGGAATAACCCCAGGCACGAGTACAGGCTGGAGGTTGACCTGCTGGAAAGCAGCTCTGCAGAGAAGGACCTGGGAGTCCTGGTGGACAACAAGTTGACCATGAGTTGGCAATGTGCCCTTGCGGCCAAGGTGGCCAGGGTATCCTGGGATGTATTAGGAAGAGTGTTGCCAGCAGGTCAAGGAAGGTGATCCTTCCCCTCTACTCAGCCCTGGTGAGGGCACACTTGGAGCAGTGTATCCAGTTCTGGGCTCCCCAGTACAAGAGTGATGTGACACTCCTGGAGAGAGTCCAGCGGAGGGCTACTATGATTAAGGGACTGGAGCATCTCTCATATGAGGAAAGGCTGAGAGAGCTGGGACTGTTCAGCCTGGAGAAGAGAAGACTTGG